TTAATGGAGATATTTTTTGTTTATTTGAATTATGTTATAATGAGTCTTGAGTTTCTAAGTAGACAATAGAACCTTTATAACAAGACTTTGTTGTTACATGAATTAGTATATATGTGTACATACTTGTATAAATACATGTTTTTGTATGTGTCCACAACATTGCATATTACCTTGCAAATAAAACTTTGTATAATATAATGTGACTAGCTTTTAAAATATTATTCTGGAACAGGTTTTTTAAAATTATGTTTTAATGAATCTTGAGCTTTTAAGTAGATATAATAAAATTATTGTAACATAATTTATTAACATGAATTAGTATATCATGTGTGTATATATATATGTATGTTCACATACACTATACCATCATGTCTTTGCAAAGAAAACTGTACATATACAAATACCTAATGTGATGTGACTTTTTTTTAATATTTATTTCTTCTGAAGCTTTTGAAAAAGGGCAAAATGATCTTGTGGCAGCATTAACTTTTTAAAGCAAGGATTTTTTTTTGTTTGAATTATTTTATGATATAATGAATTTTGACTTTTTAAGTAGAATATAATAGAAGTATCATAAAAATATTTGTTATTAATTTGAATTAGTATATATGTATATACATACATATTTATACATATATACTATCAGGCCTTTGCAAATAAAATTTTGTGTAACAAATGCCTAATATAATGTGATTTTTTTTTTACAATATTCTGAAGCTTTAAGGATGAAAAGATATTTTGGCATCAGCTTTTTAAAACAGATTTTTTTGGTTTGAATTATATTATAATGTTATAATGAATCTTGAGTTTTTGCATAGAATATAATAAAAATGTTGTAACATGATCTGTCAATACAAATTAGTATATATATGCATATATATATATATATATACACATACACACCATCATCATGGTGTTTGCAAATAAAATCAGACATAACAAATGCTTACTATAATGTGACTAATTTTTTAAAAAAAATTGTTTCTTCAGAAGTTTTGAGGACAAAGTGATTTTGTGGCAATGTTAACTTTTTAAAGCAGAATATAACAGAACTCTATTATAACAAGATTTGTTATTAGCATGAATTAGTATATATGTGTGTATGTAAATATGCCTACATACCATCATGCTTTTGCAAATAAAATTATATACAACATGTAATTAGTTTTGTAGTTATTCTTCTAAAGCTTTTAGGACAAAATGAATTTGTGTCAGTGTGAACTTTTAAAAGCAGATGTTTTTTTCTTTTGTTTAAATTTATGTTATAATTAATGCTGAGCTTCAAGATTTATTTTTACATGAATTAGTATATGTATGTGTGTATTATACACACACCATCATGCCTTTGCAAATAAAAATATACAGATGCCTAATATTAATGTGATGAGTTTTTAACAGTATTTCTTCTGAAGCTTTTAGGATAAAATGATTTTGTAGCAGTGTGGATTTATAAAAACATTTTTGTTTGAATTTTGTTATGATAATGAATTTTGAGCTTTTAAGTAGAATTTAATAGAATCTTTTTATGACAAGATTTATTATTAACATGAATTAGTATCTGTATATACATATATACAGATACCATCATGCCCTTGCAAATAAAATTATATAAAACAAATGCCTAATAGCAAATGCTTAGTTTACAGTATTTCTTCTGAAGCTTGTAGGACAAAATGGTTTTGTGGCAGTGTTAACTTTTAAAGCAGGTATTTTTTCTTTTTTTTAATTATGTTATAGTTTATCTTGAACTTCTAAGGAGACTATAATAGAACCCTATTATAACAAGATTTGTTTTTATATGAATTAGTATATATACATAGATATATACATGAATATGTTATAGTGTATGTGTGTATGTAATATATATGCCATCATTCTCTTTCAAATAAAACTGTAACAAATACCTAATATTAATGTGATTAGTTTTAATGGTATTTCTTCTGAAACTTTTAGGACAAAATGGTTTTGTAGATTATTTGACTTTTTAAAGCAGATTTTTTTCTTTTTTTAAATTGTTATAGTGAATCTTAAGCTTTTAAGGAGAATATAGTAATAAAACTTATAACAAGATTTGTTTTTACATGAATTAGTGTATACATATATGTGTGTATATAGTATATGTATGTATGTGTGTGTATAATATATATCCCATCATTTCTCTTTCAAATAAAATTATAACACATGACTAATTAGTGTGATTAGTTTTTATAGTATTTTTTCTGAAGCTTTTAGGATAAAATGGTTTTGTAGCATTGTTTAACTTTTTAAAGTAGAGATTTTGTTGTTGTATTATGTTGTAGTGAATTGAACTAAGGAGACTATAATTGTAGAACCTTATTATAACAAGATTTGTTACTATATAAATTAGCATATATGTGTGTATAAGTGTATTTATGTATATGAATATATGTGTGTACATATGTATATTACAACCATCATTCTCTTGCAGATAATATATAACAAATGTCCAGCATAATGTGATTAATTTTATAATATTTCTTCTGAAGCTTTTGTGGCAATATGAACTTTTTAAAGGAGAGGGTTTTTAAAAAAAAATATGTTGTAATATAATGAATCTTGAGCTTCTAAGGAGAATATAATAATAGAACTTTATTATAACAAGATTTGTTAACTTGAATTAGTATGTACGTGTGTATATTTATATTTATATACACATACCATCATTCCCTTGCAGATAAACTTATATGTGACAGATGTCTAATATAATGTGATTAATCTTACAGTATATCTTCTGAAGCTTTTAGGACAAAATAATCTTGTGGCAGTGTGAATTTAAAAACTTTTTTTTGTTTGAGTTACATTATAATGAATGTTGAGCAAAGGAGAATATGATAGAACTTTTTGTAAGATTTGTTATTTCATGAATTAATCTCTCTCTGTGTATAT